CCGCCTGCCTGCCGGCCCCTGCGCCCCGCAGCTGCTGTGCGCGCGGCAGGACAACTCCCCGCGCTTCGCCGCAGTCCCGGGTTCACGCCGGGCACCTACTGCCCACCGCGATTTTACACTCGAACTCGGGTACGCAGCCTTTTCCCCTTGTGCTGCGTTCGTTCTACGGATGGATGAACGAAAACCATGAACGATACACAGCTTTCTCAGGAATGTCCCATGGGCTCCCCTTTGCCCTCGGATGACTATAGGGTATTGGGGAGGACGCCCCAGAGGTTAGCCTGGTACCTTCAATCCCCAAAATGCTTGTTGAACGGTGACCATATAAAGGGACAAATGAGCCTATAAAGAAAGAAAGTCTGGACCAAACGTTAGAAAATCTAGTTTTATAAACTCGCACAAGGCCCGTGTTCCGTGGAATCTTGGTCAGCGAGCAGGGACCTTGATACTCCCCAGTCTTCGCGATAAGGCTGTAGTAAAGATCGAATAAGATAATTTATGTGATAATGCTTGTCAGACTGTTTCCTATACAAAGTATACAAAATATGACTATTGTTCAGTTCACTTGACAAGCTTACAATATCGCTTATCCTGATCATAGAGTGTAGAATGCTCTCATTCTCTGTCTCTTACAGATGAATCCCCACCCAGAGACAGAAAATGCCACGAAGGCACCACCTCCACTTTCCCTCCTCTAGTTTTATTCCTCTGCAAATTGTCACATATATTTCATGTTCTGGCCTAGTACATTTTTTCAAACTACTCTGCTTTTTATCACATAAAGCACTATGAAAGTAAAAATGTTAGTCATGAACTATTTGAATTCCTTTTAAAAACTGCATAAAATAATCGGGTTATGGAAACCGCCTATATGCCTATATGCCCAACAAAAGATGAGTGGATTCAGAAGATGTGGTATACCTATACACGATGGAATACTACTCAGCAATAAAGAAGATGAAATGTTGCCATTCAAGGCAACATGAATGGAACTGGAGCGGATTATATTAAATGAATTGAGTCAGAAGGACAAAAACAAATGCTGGATGTTTTCATTCATATGAGGAATAAGAGAGAAATAAAGAAAGGAACTGACAAAACTAAGCCAAAACAAACCCTAGAAATCTGACTGTCGAACTAAGGCTGTTTGAGGTGGGAGAACACAAAGGGGGAAGGAGTCCAAGGGTCTATGGTAAAGGGCAAAGGGTGCTTTAGTGGTGGGTGTGGTGTGGTGATACACATCTGAGAAAGTGTGATCCTGTTCTGCTCAATTATAGACAGGATTGTTAATCAATGTTACCTCAATAAAAATATAAAATAAAATAAAGACTGCATACTCAGGATTACAGCCTGATGACTAGGTATAACATTTGATAGTAAAGTGTATGCATAATAATTACATTGACATTGTGCCAGGCATTGAGCTAAGCATTCTAGCAATCCCAGGAGGCACTCTTATAATACCTTTTTTTACAGAATGAGAAAATTATGACTTAGCTACTGACTGCATCTGAGTTCACGTGATTAGTGTGTAGAAAAGTTAAGACTCACACCAGCAAATGTAAATGACTTCAAAGACCGGGCTACATTTCTATTCCATTACCCTGAATTGTCAGAATTAAAAGTCATCCTTAAACTTAAGAAAATGAAGTCCAGTTGAGCCCTTTCTTCCTCCCTACCCAATATCCAAACATTTAAATACAAGTTCAAATCTATTCTCCCCCCCCTTTTGAAACATAAACTCAACTCTCCTGACACAGATAATTTGTAATCAAATATTTCTTGCTATAATGAGATTTTCTGTTATGTTCTTTTTCTCAGACTTTTTTTACATTTTCTGTGATATGAAATTTGGGGACAGGGCTAGAGAGGGAAAAAGTACTACAATTTGGGAAAGATAGGAAAGGACTTAGAGCAGATAAGATTCAGGTATTGAATCCCAGCTTTGGTGCTCAGTAACTGAAATCATTTACTGTCTCTGTTGTTCAGTTTGTCAGTAAAATGGAAATAAAAAGAACATTTTCTATTCTTACTTGGTGGACACTGATCATGAAGATGTTTTTCATTGCACTCTTCCTGAGATGACCCTTGCAATTTTCCAAATGTCTGAAACTCATACTGAATAATTTGTGGTGTGTCCTAAAATGAAAAAAGAAAACATAGTCCCTACTTTGTGGTATTGTGGAGAAACTATGTGACTTAATGGAAGTAGCCATTTATATAACTGCATAAGGGAAAGGGAACCTGGAAGTTGAAAGAGGCTTGAAAGACATACTAACCAAACAGGATGTTATTGAAGGAGAGACCTGTCCATAAAATACAATAGGGGACCTTGAGGGTTCCTGATTTAAACAAAGCAACTGGGAAAACTTTTATGAAATGGTGAAATTTCAGTCCAGATGGTAGTGATACCAAGGAACTGTTTTATTTTGGATATGTTCATTAATATCATATTATCATTTTGGGGGCTATATTTTGTAAAGATGCAGACTGAAGTACTTGGTCACAGAATTTCTGAAAACTACTTCAAAATAATCAAGTTAGTTATTTACAATAGCTAGAACATGGAAGCAACCTAAATCTCCTTCAGTGGAGGAATTCATCAAAAAAAAAGTGGTACATAAACACCATGGAATAGTACACAGCCACAATAAAGTATGAAATGCAGTCATTTTCAACAAAATGGAGGGAATTTGGAGCATTTATATGCAGCAAACCAAGTCAAGACGATAAAAATAAAAAAAGGACATTCATATAACAGACAATTCCACAAGGTAAAACACTTGCAAAAACTACTGAACATCTACAAACACCCTGAGAAGTAGATTAAGAGAAAGGGAGTAGGAAAGGGTTAAGGGGGTGAAGAGGAGGGTGGGGGGGGGAAATACCAAGCAAATAAATAGTTAAAAAATAGAAATAGTTCAGGGAAAAATTAAAATGACAGTTGAGGACCTCCTTAGTGGCACAATAGGTTAAAGTGCAGCACTCACTCATACAGTAGCAAAAGCCTTTTCAGCATGATTTCCATCCCAGCCAGGGATCTGACCCACATGGAGAGGCAGACCTCTCCTGTCCCACCCACTGATCCCCTGGCAGTGTACTTCATTCATCTATCTGTTCTGCTCCCCACTCTGTCTCTGGTGATTCCTCTCACCACCCCTGAGCCTCTGGCCTGTACCCCAGTTCTGTATGCATAAATAAATAAATAAATTTTTTAATTGAGATTATTAGGAAGAAATAAAAATAATAGCCCTATCTCATGGCGTTTTGATGAGGATTAACTCCCCAAGACCCAATACTGCTTGATATTGAATAACTTCTCAGTAAGCATTAGCAGCTGTACTAACTTTTGATAACAATGAACCAAAAAATAACTCAAAATAACTTGGGTATAGACAGACACCTATTGGTTCATATAAGGAATGGAAAAAAATAATCAAGTGATGGAGGAGAGCAGTATAAATGATAAAAGACTGGCAAGTGTTGCTTATTAAAATACAGGTTTTTAAAACATACTATTAGCTCTACATTTGTATGTACTTGAAATTGTACAGAACATTATTTTTAATACTGTTGAAGTGCTGGAACAAAATGAGGAAGGATTATGCAAATGTTCACAACTTTATGCTTACCACTTACAATATTGTCTAATGTTTATTTACGTTAGAGTTTGCATTTACAAGAATACTACTAAATCTAAGTGGCAGTCATTGTCTTCATTTTACCGAAAACACTGAATCAGTGGTACAGAGCCCAGACCGCAAGGGCGTGCAATATACCACTGCCACTCTTCCTGCTTCCAGGGGACCGCTGGTAAAAAGAGGAGGTACCCACAGCCACTAATCACAGGGTCCCTACTTCCTTTAATGGCCGTAATCAGATCAAGCAGGGAGAGAATAAGCGACCATGCCACGGGTTCACTTAGAAATATTTATCAGACCGAATTTGAGCTATTATCTGCTCATCAGAAACTCTAGCTGCTACTTTAAAAGGTAATCTCGGGAGAAAAGAAAGGCGCACCGCCGAAGACGTGGAATCCTCAAGAAAAAGTTCTGCGTGGCTTGCGTTTTTTTGTTGTTGTTGTTTTTACATAACTATTTTTTTTTTTTTGTTCCCTACGTTGCTTTTTTTCCTCTCATTACCCTGTTTATCTTCCCTAAAAAAAAACCCAGGATGAGTCGCGAGAAACTGCAGGAGAAGCCGGGGTGGGAGGTGGGCGGTGTCGCGGCGGGCGCGTCGGGGACCCTGCCCCCCCTCCAGGCCGTTCCACCTTAAGCAGCCGGAGCCACCCCCGGCGCGGAGCCGGCACCCCGCTCCTCCCACTCCCGTGTCAGCTCCGACCCGGGAACGTGGGGAAGGGAGGAGAGACACGCTGAATGGAAAGATTGGCGCCTGCCGCTACCGGGGCGCTCCTTGCCCCTTCTCCACCGGCGCCGGAAGGAGCGTGGAAACCGGGGGCGATCGGGGGATCCGGAATGTGTTCTACTGAAACGGAGTTTGCGGGGGGCATGCTGGGCTTAGGCTCATCTTGGGGTGGGGTCGAAGAGGGACAGAACTCGGGCATTTGAAATAGATTGTGCCCAATGACGGTCAGTCGAAAATTAAGGTTCACCAAGTCGGGAAGCACCTCTCCAAACCATTTCCAAAAGAGGGGGCAAGTTTTCCACTCTCCGCCCCAATTCCCCCGTCTTCATATTAATTGATGGGGTTTAAGGTGGGCCGGGCCCGACGTCGCTTGTTGATTGGCTGCTTGGGTAATCTATCAGGGTGACGCCTGCCGGGAGGGGCGACTTGGGGAGGAAGTGAAGGTTATTTGGGTACCTCCTACCCCAACTACGGATTGGTTGAGATTTTCCGAGGCGAAACAAGGCCTAGAAATGTCCACTGGAGGGGGAGGCAGATTGGCCCCTCTTGGGGGGACGTCGCCCGGGTGGGACTGGGGAGAGCCAGCGAGCTCTGTTATTGTTGTGAAGGACCCAACGGATTGAAACCCGGAAATGAGTATAAGGGAACTCGAGGGAAAAGAGGGAAATCGGCGACACCTTCGCTGCCCTCAAACAAGGTCATTTCCTGCATGGGATCTATAAGTTTCCTGTTTACTCAACGAAGTCAGCGTAACCGGGCTGTCTGGAACATACGCGATGATTTCTATGAGCCTTTGGCCTCCCGCTTCCCACTTATTTACACTCACTGAAAGAATGACACACTGGAAAGGGAAAGCATGGGTTTTTCCCTGCTGTTAGGGACCGGTAGAGAAACTGACCTCACTGTAAAAGCCAAGGACCGACATTGGATCACAGTGTTCTAGCAGGTGGGTTGCTAAAGAGCCCATTCATCAAATAATCGGAGAGGGTGGGTGAGGTGAAGAGAATTGTTAAGATTTGTCTGAGGGAAGGGTATTAGTCATATCCAGAACCTTCTTAGGTAGGGAGTATATTTTATTCTTTGTTATCTTTCCGGTGCCTGACAGTATCCAACATGTACTAGGTGATCCCAGCTAACCCAGAATGAGAACACTTTTATAAAGTATGCTGAACAACTGCTAAAGATGCCAGACCTTTAGAATGTTCTTAAAGATATCTGCGCCAATTTTTTTATTCTGAAAAAAAAAAATTTTTCATATTCATTTAGCAACTGGGTTAATACAGTCAGAAATTGAGAGGTAGATCTGCTCCCCAGACACCACAGGGAAGCTACTTACCTGTGAAAATACTACCATGTTAACACCTGAGGCCCTTAAAATCTGAAAAGTAGATTTCCTCTCAAACAACCTTCCCAGAAACATGGAAAACTTATGAAAAAATGTCCCTCTTATCCAGTGAATGGAAAGGTGTTTAAACTATAATGTAAGATTCAAGCATTGGAATTATTTGAAAGCATTGAGAGGTATCACTGTACTATAAATGGAATTGTTACTATGCAAGCCTTTGCTTCCTGATACATATGTACCCTTTTTTCTAGTCCATTCTTTCTTATAGCTTGATTTCAGCAGTGCTTTAATGTTGTCTAAAAACTGTGCTCTAAAATTGAGGGAACAGTGCAAGTACTTCATATTAGAATTAAAACTATTCCCACACAGGGATATTGGTCATGATTCAGCGACAGGTACCTTCAGTTTATCCAAAGTGATCCCATATTTTTCTGATTTTTTGGGCTCTAGATAGTACATTTTATTCTGTTTATAGTCTTTTTGGAATAAAAAAAAAAGCAAGAATTTTTTTTAAAGTTACTAATTTATACATATACAGCTCTGGCGTTTTCCCTTTGATGATGCCCAGTAGGCCAAAGCCAGAATTGTCTGTAAGGTGACCTAGAGCCTTTTTCTCCCTTAGCCTGGAGAAGAAAAAAAAAACTGTCATTGTTCCTAATCATGAATGCAAGCCTCCCTGTCCTCCATTCTCCCCCTCAGCTCCCCAGCAGGTAAAGATAAACCAGGGGCATCTTGACTAAGGAGAAGGAAGGACTAAGTCAAGGTCTTGAGCCTCAGAAGAATTGTCCATCTCCTTTCTTGGAGCCTAACTGTTTCCCCTCCCCAAAACTTACCTTTCTTATGGTAATTATGAGTTTCTTTTCTTTCTGGGGCCCAAGGAACTGCTACAAGACTTCGAAGGCCAAGGATGACACACCAGGCTATATTGCATTTGGCATTTCTAGGAAGAAGACGGAAAAGGAGGTAAGAAAGAAGAGTCTAGAATGGACTAGTAGACAAAGGATGATGTACTTACTTTTATTTAATCCAGTATTGTATCTGTTAGGGTTCATTGCAGTAAACAGAACCCACTTTAAGTGAAAAAGAACATAATACAGGGACAGGGATACTTACAAAATGGTTGGAAGGACTGAAGGAGGAGCTTCTCTGCTCTGTCCTAGAAATGTCTCTCCAAAGGAGACTGCTCACCTTACCCACCTGTGCAGCTACAGAAAGATAATGATAATTCCAGACAGTAGTGTAGAAACTGTTAGGTTCCAGAACACTGTGCTCTGTGGTGATCCAGGAATCTAGAAGCTCTCAACAGCCTTGGAGGCATGAAGCTAGCAGATGGAATAGAGCTACAGAGAGCCCCAACATCCTGTGACCATGCTGGCCAGGGATGGCCTCACTTCTAATTTTCATATCTTTTGCAGATTATCAGTAGATGAAGTTTCCAGTTAGAATCCTAGCTGCAGGGAAATCTGGGAAATATAGATTTTGCAGCCTGTATGCACAGCAAGGCCTATTGCAGCGAAGACTGAATGAGCATGAGCCATGGCTATCACAAACACTAGTGGATCAGGATCTCCATTTAAAAAAAATTTTTTTTTTTTTTGCTAATAAGTAGAATAAAAGGATGCTGCACCAGAAGCAGCACGAGAATGAAGCAAAAGTCTATTTCTGACATTTTTTCATTTTATTTTATAAAGCAGCAGGGAATAGCGGGAAGTAAAAACTATTGATGTTGTCACATAGTCATTATTGACTGTCCTTAACCATCGTAAAATAATTCATATTTTTAATACTAAAAAGGTGGAAGGTTATACTCTCAGAAGTTAAGAACTGGCAATGTTTAATTTCAAGAAAGATGCTGTCTTCTCGCATCCTGCTCAGTGAGCATTTCTTCCAGTGTGGCAGGGCAATGGGACTTCTCAAGTAGTGTAAGATCACTGCTTCACCAGGAAGGAACTGCTTCTTGCCAGCCTTTTTTCTTTTTCAAGGTTTATTTTTTATTTATGTATACAAGAACTTGATACAGACCAGAGGTGCACAGGGTGAGAGGGTCCACCAGAGACAGAGTGGGGATCAGAAAAGGCAGATCAACTGAATACATTGCTAAGGGGAGCAGTGAGAGGGACAAGCGAAGTCCGCCATGCCATGTGGGTCACCTCCCTGGCTGGGGATCGGGCTCATGTTGCAGTGACTTCATAGTGCTGCTCTTTAACCCAGTGTGCCACCAGGAGGGCCTTGCCCAGCCTTCTTGCTGAATAACCTTGAACAAGTCACCTTACGACTGGATCTTAATTTATTGATGACTAATACTAGTATTACAAATAAATAGTAACATTTAAGAAGGGAAAAGGAAAGGTATGGGAAAGGCAGTTTCTAAAAGGAACATAAAAAATTTTAATTGAACACTAAGAAAGGCATTAGGTCTCCTTACAGTTCTAAAAGTGCTCTCTAGTTCCCTTACAATTCTAAAAGTCTGTTCCTAAACTATTTTCTAGACTCCTAATCACCTTCTACCTGGACGTAAGATCGCACACGCCACGTAAGTCAACTCACCCTGTTCAGGATCCAGATTAATGAGGACAAGCAAATACGCTAAGTGAAATGAGTCAAATGGAGAAAAACAAATACTGTATGATTCCACTCAAATGGAAGATAAAATTAACAAAGCAAAAAAATAGTCCCTGAGTCTGGCAACAGAATGGTAGTTAGTAGAAGGAAAGGGAGGATGCAGGGTAAGTAAAACTAAAGTGGACAATTAGATGGAAACTAGACCTTCAGTATAATGTAGTTTATAACATGTCAAAATATAAAGCTGTATATCTGAGACTTAGAGACAGAGAAACAAAAGAACAAACAAAACAAAACAATCTCTTAAAGTATGAGATCAAATGGTGGTCACCAAAGGGGAGAGGATTGAGCAGGGCGGTGGTATGGACAAGTTCAGTAAAGGGAATCAATAATATGATAATAGATGGAAACTTGATTTTGGGTGGGGATCAATTATAATGCTGTACATCTGAAACCTATATAATGTTATAAACCAATGTTACTTCAATAAATTATTTGAAGTAAAAGAAAATTATTGTTATATTCTGTGAAAAAGAATAAGGAAGAACATAGTTTCTTTTTTCCATGTCATTCCTTTTGTTCAAAAGCATTCCATGGTTACCAATTGCCAATAAGATATAATCCAAAGTATTCAGTCTGGCATTCAAGGACCTCCTTGACCTGGTCCAGTCCATATTTCCCACAACCTTCTGTCTCCCAGAAAAGGACTGCCATCACCTGTTACCATTTCTTCCCCATTCCATTTCAACAAACATGCATTGAACATATATTGAACATCTGTGTGCCATTCTTTGTAGTAGGTACTTCAGGTTCAAAGATGAATTCTTCATAGCCCTTTCTGGAATGACCAGCCATCCCAGGCAGCTCAGGATTATCATAAACTTAGCACTAGAAGTCCTTGGTCCCTGGAAACCTTTTAGTCCTGTGAAGCAGAAGACTGGTCACCATAACCCCTGCCCAAGGAATTTACCCAGAAGCCAGCTTCTATATTCAGCAGACAAGAAGAGCCTGAAGAAGAAGGCAGATCACTGTATATTGGCAGTTCTAATAGCTCGAGGAACTTAAAAGACTGTTGTGCACAGCACCACAACAAATATTTTTCTGTACCCATCCACCAAATCTTAAGAGTTTATATAGAGGCCTTTTCAGGGTTTAATCACGTGTTTTGTCCAGATGATCTCCACAGCACAATACTATCTCAAGACTGCATCCTTTAGAGTAGTTTCTAGTAGCTAGAATGCATAGTCCAATGACAGGGGAGAAGCAAAGAGTCTCCAGGAGGTCAACAGTCCATGTTTTCTTGAGTCCCTTCCCCAATGTCTAACTCAAACTGCCTAGATGTATATTCTTGACCCCCAATTTTCTTCCAAAGTAATTATTTTGAGCTTCCCTAACAATTACAATAGTATCAAAGACTAGTCTGTTGACCTCAAACAAATGCAATTAGTTATTCCAACAACTTTCATCAGAAACAGACAACAGAAAAAAATGGCAGATTGCAAAGTGCAGATTGGCTAAATACCCCCGAGAATAACCTCTGGAGACTCCCTTTCACATGGAGGGAAGGGGGAAAGAGCATAACTTCCTCTGGGAGATGCAAGGCATGTTGGGACCTGTAGTTTGCTGTTCTATGCATGCATGGGCAGTCTTTCAGGCCTCCCCACTTTCTTTCTGGATATTAATGTTAACAATTCCAAGCGATGACTTATGTTTGCAGTAACGCCTAGGTTTTAATTTCTTGGAAGGCAGAGCCATCTTTCCAGAACTCCAGTGCTTACTGGTATGTTATATATAGTGACTATAAAATCAATGTATGTTGAGTTGAATAGAACAAATTAATATTTCAGGTACTTCTTTCTCCTTTAATAAAAAACCTTTCACAGTGAAACACATATGGAAAAGTGCTTGGTTGGATGATTGTTTTTATTTAAAAGATTGATTTATTTATGTATACAGACCGAGGTATAGGCCAGAGGTGCAGGGGTTCACTAGAGACAGAGTGGAGAGCAGAACAGACAGATTGACAAAGTACACTGCTGAGGGGAGCAGCGGGCCAGACAGGAGAGGTCTGCTGTGCCATGTGGCTCACCTGCAGGCCCAGGATCAAACTCATGCTGAAGCAGCTGCAGCCAACTTCATAGTGCTGCACCACCAACCCACTGCACCACCAAGGAGGGCCTGGACGATTTTTTAAGAAACTTAATAGTGGGCCCTCCTTGGTGGCGCAGTGGGTTAAAGCATAGCACTAAAGAGCTAAAGCCACTTCCACATGAGTTTGATCCCCACCTGCCGAAGGTGACCCACATGGCGAGGCAGACCTCTCCTGACCCGCCCGCTGCTCCCCTCAGCAGTGTACTTCGTAGATCTGCCTGTTCTGCTCCTCACTCTATCTCTGGTGAAGCCTCTCACCACCCCTGTACCTCTAGCCTGTACCCCAGTTCTGTATGCATAAATAAATCTTTAAAAAAGAAACTTAATAGCACCTAAATCTAGTCACAGAACACACCCCAGATATCCTAGCATTCCTTCCCAGTCACAACCTTGACTCCCAAGACTTATGGCACAAAGATAAGTTTGCCTGTTGTTGACCTTCATGTAAATGGAATCACTGGGTATGTACTCTTGTGCATGTAGCACCTTTCACTCAACTTTGTGATTCACCCATACAGTTGCAGGTTGCTCTATCACATTCACATTATTTCATATTGTGTCAATATTGTGTGACTATACCACAATGTATTTGTTCATTCTTTTTTTAATGGGTATTTGGATTATTTCCAGTTTGGAGTTATTTCTGAATATTGCAAAAAGGAGCATGCCAGCACATGTTTGGTAAACATATGTATGCATTACAATCTGGCATATGCCTAGCATTGGAACTGTTGGGTCACAGGGTAGATATATGCTGTGTTTTGTTTTTTTTTTGTTTTTTTTTTTTGGTATATGCTCTGTTTTAATAAATATTGCTAAACAGTTTTCCAGAGTAATGCACCTCTTAGCTATTTATACCTCCATTAATGGTGTATGAGGGTGTTGGACACTCTATATCTTGGCCTGGCTTGCTTTCTTTCCTTTTAGCTTCCATTTGAACCTTTCTGGTGGATGGGCACTGGAATCTCATGTGGTTTCAATTTGGAACTCAAATGACCATTCAACTGCACAACTTTCATGTACTTAACTATACTCTGGGATATTCTCTTTCAAAAAAGGTTGTGTAGCCCTTTTAGGAAACCCTTGTCATGTTTGCTTAAGCAACACATACACTAAAATTGGAACTAGTACAAAGATTAGCATGACCCCTACGCAAGAATGACACACAAATTCGTGAAGCGTTCCATATTTTTAGGGAAGATTGGAATCAACCCAAATGCCCGAAAATAGATGGCTGGATTAAAAGGTTGTGGTTCATATACACAGTGGATCATTACTCAGCAATCAAAAAAGATAAATTCATGCCTTTTGCAGCAAAATGGATAGAGCTGGAAGGGATCGTGCTTAATGAAATAAGCCAGAAAGAAAAGGAAAAATACAGGATGATTTCACTCATAGCAGGAGCATAAGAGGTCAGAGGAAACAAAGAGAGAGAGAGAAACAAATGTAATAAAGTAAAAATGAAAACAATGAACAACTATAAACCAGAGACATTTTTATGGAGGTGGGAAAATGGGATCAGAACTGGGATGGGAAGAGTGCACTGGACTACGGTAATGGCATACGGGTGACTTGGTGGTGGGAAGTCCATGAGGATTACAACTGAGATGGAAAAACACACAAAATGAAGGATGATGTAAAAAGTAAAATAACAACAGGAAAAAAAAATTTTTTAGATTTATTTATTTGTACATACAGAACTGGGATGCAGGCCAGAGATTTAGGGGCAGTGAGAGGCTTCACCAGAGACAGAGTGGGGAGCAGAACAGGCAGATCGACGAAGTACACTGCTGA